TTGCATTTCTGGTGGCAGTTCGGCCGCAGGTTATGTCAGCAGACCCTGCTCGGTTTCTGCCGCCAATCTGCCACCATGTTGCATGAGCAGGATCTGTTCGATTTCTGCCGTCAATCTTCTGTCCGGTCATGTTATCAAGCTTTGGTGTATTTCTGTTGATGATATGCCGACATTATGTGACATATCAGAGCCTGTATCAAATCTGTAGTCTTTCTGTCCACAAAATTTGGCAACAGATTTTTCGGAAATCTGTTCTTTACAGGCTTGGCTGTCTGGGACACGACTATCCCAGGGGTGGCCTCGACGGCCGCCACCACCAATGTCCCGGGCCAAGCACTAGCCGCGAAATACCACACCCGCACCGAGAGGCCGCGGACGATAACGCGCCCCCCGTAGAAGACGCCACACGAGGAGACGACCCGACACGTCGCGATGCGAAAGGCAATATGGCGGCGAAACCGCCGTGCACCACCGCCGCGCTGACGGCACCGACAACGACACCGGATCACGAGACGGGCAGCGCCATACACACCGGAGCACCAATTCCCGGCGATGATGCCCCTAGCGACCCCCCGACCCGCTCCCCGATGACCCCCGAATGTTAAGCCGTAAGAAGATGCGCGACCCTCCACCAACTCGAGCCACCCCGAAGCCGACGTTCCAGGTGGCCCGGTTCACGCGTTATTCGCAAAATACACTTGACCGAGAATGGCCCCCGATCCCGTCGAAAACTAGCCACACGCCCTCCGGGCCATACACGAACGTATGTGAGAGGCACAAGAACCGGAATTTTTCGGGACGCGAAAAACCAAAGACCGATAGCCAGACAAAGGGCTCGATTCTGTACACGCGTATCGACAACTGTCGATTCGATAAGTTTTCGATGTCTGTCGCTTGTACCACCGACAGTGACGGATTGAACTGATTCTGTACAATAGTTTAAACTACAGTCGTCGTTGCAAGCGATGGTCGTCGATACGATTTTATCGGTAAGTACAGTCATAGATAAAAGTGAGTTCTCAACCAATAGCATAGCGTATTGTGGAATAGCCCTAAAGTTTTATCAAAACAAAAACATTGGAGATCGTAACACGTAATGTTACGTTAAGTGCTAATCATATATTTAGACTCGTTTTTAGACTAATTGTAAATTGAAATTAAAGAAAATGTAGATTTAAGCTTAGGTCAACGCATAAAGAAAGGTATACCGTAAGAAAAGCGTATTATATCAGAAGTATGTAATACGTTGTTATGTGACTTTCTTTGGTGTTAACCTAAATCCAACTAATGAATCTACATTTTAGAAAAGATTAAACTAGTCTAAATATACGATTAGCATTTAGCGTAACATAACGTGTTACGGATATTTGTGTTGTGTGGAAAGCAGTGCAAGTTACAAGAAGTTATTATGGCTTCACAAACAAGGTACGTAGATATATTAATTTATAAAGGGGAATAAGTATATATTCTGCAGGTTACTGAGGTACATACATTATTTTATGTTTTTATTCTAACAACAAGGACAGTGTTCTAACTGGTTCTAACATTCGCTGCAGCACGAAGTGTGTAGCACACACGCACAATGTTTGCTATACAATTTCAGCGCTGACAATGAATTTTGGAACACACCCAAGTTCTTAGATACATATCTTAGATATATATAATTTTGGTTTTTACATTTTAGCATGAAAAAATCCCGTTCCCAAAGGACATCAACAGCTCAGTATGAAGAACTCATTAGTTACATGGGATCACATTCAGAATTTACAGCTGGCAAGTTTTTGACGAAAGAAGGAAAGATACATCACATTAAACAGTGGGAAGAGTTAACAAACAAATTAAATGCATTGTCCAATGGTATTTCTAAAACAACCAAACAATGGCAAACGGTAAATATTAAAATAATTCTTTAGCTAAAGACTCAATAATAACAACAACAATCAAAAGTAAAAATTGACTTATGAGAGTCAAACATGGTTATCCATGAATTATTCACCCTTCTAAAGGTCTGGAGAGATATGAAGAGTACCGCATCGAAGAAAGCGTCCAAACTGAGAAACGAGAGGCATAGAACAGGAAACTTTCCTATAATTGCACCAGCTTTAAGTACACTAGACCAGCGCGTTATTGCTTGCATGGGTTTGGAATACGTTCAAGGCTCTGTAAATTGTCCCGACAGTACTCCAGAAGAAGAGGTATATTCTTTTATATTATACATACAGTTAAGTTAGATATATATATAATTTATTTATTACTATTCTTTATGAAGTTTGTGTTACTAATATCTCTAAGAAATTATATACAGAAAATATGGTTTTACAGGAATATCAGCTAAGGTTAGAAAGAGGAGATACAGAAGTGTTGGATTATGTACCTACAACTATGTCCATTGAAAATGCGTGTGCTGCCACAAGCAGTAGTAAGAAAATTTATTAAATTTATATATAAATTACATTTAGAACAAAACTATATATTATATACATATTGTTATATGTTAAAGCCTAAATATTTGGAACTCATTTAAATTTTTTATGTATGTTAAGGTAGCCAGTTACCTTCTACTGATGAAGCGCCTGAATACGTGGAAAGAGAAGACAGCAACGAACTAAGCTTTGATGATATACTTAATATTTGCAGAGAAGAAAATGCTGAAATTCCCGCTCAAGAAAATGTTGCACCCAATTCTCAAACAATTCCTGAAAGTCTTGCTCAAAATGTAGCATACAATTCGCAAAAAACTGTACCTAATCGGCGAAGAACTGAAGAAATTCGACGTAAGTAAATATGTATAACGTATATGCATGTATCAGTCAATTTGGATAAGTAATGTTATAAGTTAACAATGATAGTTCTATATTCGTATAATTTAATATTTTAAATATTTACAAATATATATGTATACTAACGAATAGTTTATTAACAGTAATTTACATATTTATATTTGTATATTTCTTTATTTTAAATATACATATTTCATACTGTGATTGTGATTCGATATTTTGTAGGAAAACGTAGAGAGCGAGTTGGAGTACAACTGCAAGAAGCTCGTGAAAACTTCAGTAAAATAGCAGAAAAGCACGCTGAGGCCTTAAAAGTAAATATTTACATTTACTATTATCATTATTTGATAAGAGCAGCTTTGTCTTTCTTAACAAAAATAATGTCATAATTGTAAAAATATTAGTGTATACTTTTGTATGACATAATGAATCTTATTTTCTTATTACAGATATTTGCAGAAGCATCAATGAAGCAATCACAAAATGACTCGCGACGCGTAATATTAGAAGAAAAGCGACTTCAACTAGAAGAAAAAAAATTGAAATAGAGGAACAGATGAGCAAGGTTCTTTCAACTTTAATAGAGAAGCTAAATTAAGTGATGTGAAAAAGTTGTTTATTTCTTTGTTAGTTACCTGATATACAGGGTGAGGCTTTTAAAACTGTTTTTTAGAATATTTGGAAAAATACAAATCGGATTAAAAAAAAGTTGCAATAAAAGTTGTTCACCTCGAAGAGGGTCATCCATTAACATAAAGCTCGACCCCCCTGCACCACCCCCGGGGGCGGGAGGGGGTTGACTTTGAAATCTTAAATAGAAACCCCTATTTTTATTGTAG